CCAAGGCGATGAATGCTCGAAATCGTGCAAAAAGTAAATCTTTTCTCTGAAAGAAAAAGCACGGACTAGAATAGACTTCTTCCATTCAGTTATGTTATGTGCAAAATTTGAACGAAAGTTTTTATCATGAAATAAAATAATCAATTTGCAATGTACGAAATAATTCATCTTTTTTTAGTATTTGATAATGTATCATGTTTTTCATTAAATGTTATTTTGATCTCAAAGCCTCAAACATAAGGTAATCCATTTGAAGCACTTACATTATGCATGCTGTGTTGCCGCTATTGCACGTTACAGAAAACATACAGCAAGCAGGCAAAGTAGCCAGCCCACTATCGCGCTACACTTTTTTGAGTTCCAAACCCCTAAATGCGTGTATAAAAAATGGTGTTTTGGACGCATTTGAATAAAAATTATCTGTTGAAAGTCATAAAGTCAATACGTTCGTTGTTATATATTTATGATGTGTGTTGGGGTTTTCCGTTTATTTTTATTCTATCATTTCTTTTCGAAAAAAAAAACAATTTAAAGATTAAAATGACAAATTCGATGTTTTTTCGGTATTTCCCACTTGGGAAGGCTATAAAAGTACAATGCATTGCTTTTTCAGTCAGTTTAAATCTTCACGCACAACAAGTAAGAAGCTATTAAACATTCATTTAAAATGAACCGAATTTCGCCGCTGATTGGATTATTATTGGCAATCATTGGTTGCGTGAATTGTGCTGGGTTAGTATCAAGTCCGATTTGCAATAAAAATTTATTTAGAATTTAAATGTTCACTCATTTTTGATAGAGGAATTGAACTTTTTTTTATTGTTTTTTCAATTATCTGTGTGTCTGTCGACCGCTGATAAATTGAATTCAAAACGAATGACAAACCGGTCTGGTTGATTGTTTCGAATCAATTATGATTTTTATTCAGAGTCATACGTCCTCAAGGGAGAAATTTAAGGGAGGGGGGTGTAATTGAAAAAAAATCGAGAAGGGCAAGTAAAAAAGTGAATTGTATTTTGTAAAAAGTGTACTTTTTTCGTTTTTTTTTTTGCTATTAAGTTTTTTTGGTAAAAATCCCTAACAAATTGAAAGAATTTTTTGGAAATTTTTGAGGGATAATACTTCAGGGGGTAATCGGACCCCTGCTGAGGACGTATGTTCAGGGTGTAAAAACCAAATTACATAGTTTGATTTTCACAGAAAGAGTGATAACTGAAACCGTCTGCATTTCAAAAAAATCTCTATGATAACAAAAGGTCAAAGAAATGAACATATTTCGTGCTTTTTTCCTTAGTACTTTGATTAAATGTAATTTGCCAGCACGAATAAAATTAAGAGATAAGATTTGTAGAACTTTAGTTGATTGAATATGAAAATGATTTTGTGGGAAAAATTCAATTTTTCTCTTTAATTAATTTCAGTTAAAACAGTTGAATTAAAATGTATGTGCTCTTCTTAAATGATGAGATGTACAGAATAATGAGCCAATCAGTCTAGGTCTTATAGTGCATAAAATTTTTATTTTTGAAAAGTTGGTATGGGGGATGTTATTTTTTTTTCCATTTTTTTTAATGTTATCATTTTCTATTGGATGTCAAATTTGGATTACGGGACCCAAAATTAAGGGCTATGGTACCTTTGCATGGTTTGACCTGATTCAAAACGTTTAGTTAACCAATTTTCAGACTATTTTTGATCTTTTGACCAAAAAACATGATAATTTTGGTCAGACATCAAGGTTCATCATGGTCTAACACCATTTAACACGGTCGTTGAGGTCGGTTAAACGACGGTCGTGAATTGAGTTGTTTTTGTATATTTATCTCATGATGTATACGGCAGAAAAGTTCGTCTTACAGTGTAAGACTTTTTATTTTTTGTGAAGTTAAAAAACATGGGAAGTGTGTCACGTCACAACCTCATTTTATTAAACAAATATTTTTTCAAACTTCAAAAACGTTTGCTTTTTAACAGTAGAATCATCGACGATTATTCGAATAAGTATAAAACACTTCTTTCGAAGTTCCCACTGTGACGCAATACTGTAAATCTGGAAATGTTCTGATATAAATTTTCAGTGACGCGTTCGTTCATATATGCATACAAAATGTTAATATTGCGTCGCCTCTAAAATGCAAACACAAACAAAAGACGTGTTTAATGTCGTAATCAAAAATCATAGGTCAAAAATTTGCGGTTTTTATTGATTTCTATTATTTTCGTGTTGTTTACATGAATCGTTCTCTTGAGGTGAAATAGGCGACGCAATATTAACATTTTGTATGCGTATATGAACGAACGCGTCACTGAAAATTTATATCAGAACATTTCCAGATTTACAGTATTGCGTCACAGTGGGAACTTCGAAAGAAGTGTTTTGTACTTATATCAATAATTTTTTAGTAATTTATGACGAAATTCTAACGCTAAGTGTGTTGAGACCTGATTTTAGCGTAAAATAAATGTCATATTCGGTTTTCTCTTATCAAAAAACCCCCAAATACCAATTTTTATAGCAATCGAATAAAAACCAATTTTTTCGAAATATTATTCCAAAAGAATGGTTTCAAGCCGAAAAATCTAAAAAAAATTGAACTCATTTCTCAAAACGGTTACCACCATTGAATTTTTTGGGTCCGAATTATGTAAAATCAGTTGTCAAAGTGGACCAACAAAGTAAAAATCAAGCACATTACAGTGGATTACTAAAATATTAAAATATACGTGGCCGCTTAAGTTCACACTTTTCCCAATTTTCACCAAATAAAACGATGTTGGTTTTTAAAAATGTACATATCGGCACAAAATTTAGTGCGCTCTCGATCTATGATAGAAAAAGCCAAGCTAATCATACATTTTTTCGAAATAAATGACGATTAACTTCGATTTTTCCCCATTTTTCGAGGTCTAGTCATTCTGATCTAACCTTTTCCGCTGAATATTTTTTCAAAATGTCTTTATTGCTTCATCAAGATGACCATTAAGGTCTTTCCAATAAGCTAAGAATGACATGATTCTGTTAAAAAACACCCCGTATACCTGTGATCAAAAATGACAAAAAAATTGAAAATTTGCCGAAATTTTTTTTTAAAAATTCGAATTTTCCCAGATATGATACATACACCAAATCATCACATATTTGGTATCCAACAAACGCCCAGTATTTTGATTTTTTTCATAGACGCATTTTTTTTTTAAATTTGGGTCACGTGAAAAAAGTCATGGTCATTTTTCGCCGAAAATGTCACATAATACTCCACCTGGTGGATATTTTTGAAAATTTTTCCATTTTGACTTCGGATCCTGAAAGCTGAGTCTTTTACCTTTCCAACGACGTACAAATCATTGTTGTACCTTACAGATGACCAGAAAAATGTGCGAATGATGAAAAACTCAAAAACGACCTCCCAAAAATGTTTGACCCCAGACCAAAACCACTTACGCAACAAATTTTTTGAAACTGAGAAATTAGTTTGCTCAGTTTTCTGTCTACTTTCGAAAAAAAATAATTTCACACAATTTAAAAGAAACTACGGGCAGACACACAAACGCCTCAACCGGCCAATTTTGAGGTTTTTGACCATTTTTGGCCAACTGGCCATATCTCGGCCACT